GGCATCATTATTAAGAGTCAAGTCAATTTGTGGTAGTAATAATAATGTGATTCTGGTGAAGACTTTTCTGATTTAAACCATATCTTATATTATTCATACATATATTATTATTACGGATAAATTTCACTGATCTCTTCTAAAATATACTTTAACTACACAAAAAAAAAATATATATATATATATATATATATATATATATATAATTTTTAAAATTACTCAAGACTTTTTCTAAAAATCAGTATGACGAGAATAGTATCAACAAAAAATTAGTTAAATTCTCGTATTGCCCCAATAAAAATGGCAAATTGCAAAAATACCTAATCATTGAATGTATATAAATTAATTATACACACACACACACACACACACACATAAAACCTTAATCTCAAATCTCATTATACATTCTTCTTCTTCAAAATCATCTGAGAAATGAAGTTGAATACCTGTGGTTTTGTTACTTCTTATTAAAAATATTTCCAACTCTCTGTTTCCGGTTAGTGAAAATACAGTAAAAACATGCATTTCTAAACCTGCAAGGAACTCTTTCATTGTGTGAAATTTAATTTTATTAGAAAAATTCTAATAAAAAAAATGCTTATTTATTAGAAAAATATATATATCCAAGTGGGTGAACTCGGGTTTCGCAAAAAAAGTTCCAAAATTGAGAGTCTTCAAACCTGTCTAACCAAAGATATTTCCCAGACAGTGGGTCAGCCCAATCAATCTGTAAAAGGTTATGTATTAAATGTTTATAATCTTCATACCTTTATACTTAAAATTTTGTTTTTAAATGTTTTATTTAGTTTCTTGAGGTCGGAATTCTGGGAACTCTTATCACTTGTTGGATGTGCAGTCATGAATATTGTGCTCTAAAGTTATACAAGAAGAAGCAGCATAGCCTTTATGCCAACTACTTCGGGTCATAGATGAATCATAATTTCTCATTCTAATTTATAAACCACCTTACCTTCAATCAAACCACATGTTATCCAATTCTTTTTACCTAATTTTAACGATGTTACCTTTTGTCTTCGCATTCTGCTAGCATTAGCCTCAATATGGATCATGTCATGCACTCTTTTTAACCGACTAACTTAAAAAGTCTTTTGTGCACATGGCCAACCATCTTAACCAATCTTCTCTTATTTTGTCTCTAATTGGTATCACTTCAGCCATGTCATGAATGTTCTCATTTCTAGTTTACTTTTACTCTCTTACTGCACGTCCATCATAAAAAATAAAAAATAAAAAATAAATACATTTAAAGTCTAAATCGTTTAATCTTCTATTTATATGGTAGTGATTGCTAAATAGAAGTAAAATTTTGTAATTATAAATTGAAAATTTGATATATATATATATGTTCGTTGAAGTTTAGTTATTTAATGAATGTTATATTATGAGTTTAAAAAATTAATTGAATTTAAATCTAATAAAAAATATATATATCATTAAATTGATATTTCTATATGAGACAAGGAAGCTAGCTAGCTGATGTGATAGTCCCCAAAGACCCAAAGTCGGTCCAACATTTTGAGGAAGTCTTTGCAGGACAAATAAAAAAGATGAAGGCCATTAACTTCAGGTCCAAGGATCAAAGACGCATGCGTCAAGAGCATGATTAAACAATTGATTTTAGTGCTTTTGAACATGGGGACGAAAGTGATTGTGTATCTAACATAAGTAAAATAAAATAAAATAACAAATAACAAATAATGTCTAAAATTACCATAAATGTAAGGCTAATTCAAATTCTTGAAATATATTAGGTGTTTCTTTCCTTGATTTTCTAAAAATGATCAAACGGATTGGACACTTGGTCCTACCTAATACACTCGCCACCCGAGATAACTTCCTGAATCCACACCGACACAACGCTCAGTACCATACGCTCACTATCCATGACAAGTCGAAACAATCATTGACCTTTGACCTGACATCGTGCTGAAGAGGGATTGATTCAGGAGAAATGGTTGGCCAGGCCATTCTCATCCTCAATCCGGTCTCAACACAGACGTCATTCCTGTTCTCAGGTCCAAACCTCAAACATAGTCTCACACAGTTCACAAAACAACCATGAAATCCACTCACTATCCATACATTGCTCTATGTAATCCTCAACAATTATACAGCCACATACCAACTCTAAGAATCCCAATCATACCACTCGTAACAAGCTAAAAATAACATGGCACCAAACGTCACAATCATCAACCAGTATAAAAGATCTCTAATTTCCTCATAACACCCATATCAGGTAAACAACTCCCTAAAATCATTCGATTTAGTTCTTACCTCGTCAAAACACGCAATGCAACTATTTTACGCCTAAGATCATAAAACCAAAGTCAATCATTCATATTATTCCTTAATGGAATCACACATTCACTTTCTCTAATCACGTAATTCTAAGACGACATCGACACTTATCCTCGAGACACTGCTCGAATTAAATGCCTATAAAAACATCCGAAAGCGTAACTCACATCACATCACTTAATCATCCTCAAACTCCTAGACATCATCGCTAGTACTAGACACTGGAAACATAAAATCTCTATTCGGCAACTAGTGCCTCACACACCACTCTCAGAACAAGCACTACAAAAACAAAGACTCCACCTCCCTCCGTGGGAGTGAGTCGACCCAATATTCAACCAAACCTTTACCGGTGAACTCTAACATTATAGCAAACCGCACACGTGTCAGCCCATCCGCTGACGTGCACAACTCCTAGATGGAGAACAAGGCATACGACAAACAACGTCCTTGCCGGGACTAGAATAGATAGAAGGGTAATGAACCCCGCACTTACCAGAGACTGACAACTAGTACTCAAATGCACCCGACACCCTATTACACGCTACTCACCAATCATCCAACTGTGGACACCCAATCTCACTTGAGATGAAACAAACTCCTTACACACCAGGAGAAGAATCAACCGAATACCCGCACAAAACTACGAACTCAAATCTAGGCGATCTCGCCACTAGCAGACCGTCATACACTATCAATACTAAAATCTCGCACACGAAATGCTAAAATGCCAATGCAAAAATAACCAAACCCAACATATAATACATGCACACCTAGTGCAAGATAAAATAAAATAAAAGAAAATAATACCGTATAGAGCAAAATAAAATAAATACTCCTATGTACAGACATCAAAATATAGAACGTAATAATACTAGAAAGTAACTAATACTACCCAGGGCATTGCATCCTACTCAATCTAAGGAGAAGTCCCTCTCGACCTCCATCACATGAGAACATTGATCTATGCCACTACAGCTCCCCAAGGTAACCTCAACACCTACACAGTGCACAACGTTATGAAACTCGTCACCACAACCTACCGACTCCTCATAAGGAGTGGTGCACCTATGTGGCAGCACCATCCTAACCAATTCCAAGCAAAATGACTAGCTACAATTGTCTCCACAATTCTAAACCATGTTACAAACCCACCATGGACAACAACCAGTCACTACTTCCTACCCAAATACTAGGGTCACCCCTAAACCGACTTACTCTTCAATACAAGGATATCAAATTATAACACCCCTGTGATCATCCTTCCCAAAGTAATTGCACAAACTCCAATCCCTTAGAAACAACAAGCCACCATTAACCAACCTCTCCTTCTAAAGTGACGCTAACTCAACATGAAAACACACATCACTCATGATACTTGACACCATAGTCAACAACCCACTACAAGAATAAGAATCATGCGTGGCACGCTACAAGAATAAGATTAAACGTTTATAATCTTCATACCTTTATACTTAAATTTTTGTTTTTAAATGTTATATTTAGTTTTTTGAGGTCGGAATTCTGGGAACTCTTACCACTTGTTGGATGTGCAGTCATGAATATTGTGCTCTAAAGTTATACAACAAGAAGAAGCATAGCCTTTATGCCAATTACTTCGGGTCATAGATGAATTATAATTTTTCATTCTGCTTTATCTACCACACTACCTTCAGTCAAACCACATCTTATCGTATCCTTTTTGCCTAATTTCAACAACATTACCTTTTGTCTTCGCATTCTACTAACATTAGCCTCAATATGGATCATGTCATGCACTCTTTTTAACTGTCGGACTTAAAAAGTCTTTTGGGCACATGGTCAACCATCTTAACCAATCTTCTCTTGTTTTATATCTAATTGGTGCCACTTCAGCCATGTCATGAATGTTCTCATTTCTAATTTATTTTTATTCTCTTACTGCACGTCCATCATAAAAAATAAAAAATAAATACATTTAAGTTATGAATCATTTAATCTTCTATTTATATGGTAGTGATTGCTAAATAGAAGTAAAATTTTGTAATTATAAATTGAAATTTTGATATATATATATATATATATATATATATATATATATATATGTATATTCATTGAAGTTTAGTTATTTAATGAATGTTATATTATGAGTTTAAATAATAATTAATTGAATTTAAATCCAATAAAAATATATATATCATTAAATTGATATTTCTATATGAGACGAGGGAGCTAGCTGGCTGATGTGATATGTCCCCAAAGACCAAGAGTCGGTCCAACATTTTGAGGAAGTCTTTGTAGGACAAATAAAAAAAGATGAAGGCCATTATCTTCAAGTCCAAGGATCAAAGACGCATGCGTCAAGAACATGATTAAACAATTGATTTTAGTGCTTTTGAACATGGGATGAGAGTGATTGTGTATCTAACTTAAGTAAAATAAAATAAAATAACTAATAACAAATAATGTCTAAAATTACCATAAATGTAAGGCTAATTCAAATTCTTGGAAATGAATCGAAAATTAATATACACTAAATGGAAGACAAAAATAAATAAATATACTCTCATATACTGACTTTTGAAAACCAAGTTTTCATAATCAATAAGTTGAATTCCCAAGCAGTGGGGCAGCCCAAAGTGGATCTGTGTGTGTATAAAAACCTCTCCATAATTGGAGCCCTTCATCATCCATCCAAACAATTGCCCTCTTATAGTTCATATACAGTATCAAACCTACAATGAAATTCCACAACCAATTTCTTTTTAATTTCAAACTTCTATTATTTCCCATCATCATCATCCTTGCAGTGTTGCTTTCTTTTTCCGATTTCACTGCTTGTGATTCTTCTTCTTCTTCTTATTCTGCAGCTCCAATTAGAGAAAAGGAAAGAGAGGCCCTTTTAAAGTGGAAAGCCAGTCTTCACAAACAAACCCAATCTCTAATTCTCTCCTCTTGGGCTCCAAACACCAGCAGCAGCCCTTGCAATTGGGTCGGGATTCATTGCAAGAAGGGTAATGGAAGTGTCACCCAAATAGAACTTTCCAGTGTTGGTTTAAAAGGTACACTTCACTATCTCAACTTCTCATGCTTTCCTCATCTCCGTGGCATTTTTTTTTATAACAATTCACTCTATGGGACAATCCCCAATCACATCACTAGCCTTTCCAAGCTCACCATTCTTGACTTGTCTTTTAATTCTCTCTCTGGAGCAATTCCATCTGAGATAGGGAAACTGATGTCGCTCACTGGGATGTCACTCGCGACCAACAATCTCATAGGTCCAATCCCTGCTACAACGTGGAACTTGACCAACTTGACATTTTTATACCTTTATGACAACAAACTTTCAGGACCCATCTCTCAAGAAATTGGAATGTTGAGGTCTATTGTCGATCTTGAGTTGTCCAAAAACAACTTCTCAGGCTCAATACCTGTTTCGATAAAGAACTTGGTCAACTTAACCACTTTGTATCTTTATAGCAACAAACTTTCAGGACCCATCCCAGGAGAAATTGGAATGTTGAGGTCTCTTGTCGATCTCGATTTGTCAGATAATAATTTCTCAGGTTCAATACCTGCTTCGATAAAGAACTTGGTCAACTTAACCTATCTGTATCTTTTTACCAACAAACTTTCAGGACCCATCCCTCAAGAAATTGGAATGTTGAGGTCTCTTGTTGATCTCAAGTTGTCTGAGAACAACTTCTCAGGTTCAATACCTGTTTCGATAAAGAACTTGGTCAACTTAACCACTTTGTATCTTCATACCAACAAACTTTCAGGACCCATCCCTCAAGAAATTGGAATGTTGAGGTCTCTTGTCGATCTCAATTTGTTCGAAAATCAGTTATCTGGCTCTATCCCCCGAGAAATAGGAAGGATGAAATCCCTCAAGTATCTATCCTTATCGTTTAATAAATTCAGTGGCTCTATACCTATAGAGTTGAATAATCTTACCCATTTGCAAGACTTGCAGTTGAGTGAGAACGAGCTTATTGGTCATTTACCACATAACATATGCCATGGTGGATTACTTGTAAATTTCACTGCATCTGGCAACAATCTCATAGGTACAATCCCTAAGAGCTTGAAAAGTTGCACTAGCTTATTCAGAGTTAGGCTTGATAGGAACCAACTATCTGGAAATATATCAAATGATTTCGGCATATATCCAAACTTAAATTATATCGATTTGAGTGATAATAAAATATTCGGTGAGCTTTCTGGTAAATGGGGCCAGTGCCACAATCTAACAAGCCTAAAAGTCTCCAACAACAATATTTCTGGTGAAATACCACCTGAATTGGGAAATGCAACTCAGCTACATGTGCTTAACATCTCTTCAAACCATCTTACTGGGGAAATTCCAAAGCGTTTAGGAAGGTTAACCTCATTGATAAACCTTGATTTAAGCAATAACAGACTTTCAGGCAGCATTCCTTTGGAAATTTGTGGGCTATCAGACTTGGAACATCTTAATTTGGCAGCAAATAATCTAAATGGCTCAATTCCGGAACTATTAGGAGAGTGCGTGAAACTATTGTACTTGAATTTGAGCAGCAATATTCTTGCCGAAAGTATTCCTTTTCGCATTGGCAATTTACACTCTCTTGAAAACCTTGATGTCAGCCACAATTTACTAAAATGGGAAATACCAGCCCAACTTGGACAATTGGAGAAGTTAGAAGCATTGAATCTCTCCCACAATAAGCTTTCTGGATCCATTCCATTGACTTTTGAAGGTATGTCAAGTTTGACTTCTGTTGATGTATCATACAATCAGTTGCAGGGTCCTGTTCCGAAAAATAAAGCCTTCCAAGAGGCTCCGTTTAATGCATTCAGTAATAATAAAGCTTTGTGTGGCACTGCCACTGGTTTGACGGCTTGTGCCCCCACAACGAACAATGATGCTAATAAGGAGGAGAAGGGCAACAAACTTGTGATTTTGATTATAGTCCCTCTTTTAGGCATTGTACTTATTTCATTTATGGTTGTTGGGATTTTTTATCTTCTTTACCCCAAAGTGGGCAGTGTAGAAAATGAGCCAAGAAGAAATAACAGTGAGAATTTATTTGCAATATGGAGCTATGATGGAAAATTGGTGTATGAAAACATCATTGAAGCAACAGAGGACTTCAGCTCTGATCATTGCATTGGGGTAGGAGGATCAGCAAGTGTTTATAAAGCTCAGTTGCCGAGTGGTCAAGTTGTTGCTGTTAAGAAACTTCATCCCCCGGAAGATGATGGTGGGCGGGCTACTGATCAAAATGGTTTTACAAGTGAAATCCGAACATTAACAGAAATACGTCACCGGAATATTGTGAGGCTTTATGGTTTTTGTTCGCACCCACGACACTCGTTTTTGGTTTATGAGTTCTTGGAAGGGGGAAGTTTGCAAAAGATCTTGAGCAGTGACCAACAAGCCTCAGAGTGTGGATGGATTAAGAGAGTGAATGTGGTAAAAGATGTGGCAGATGCTTTGTGTTACATGCATCATGATTGTTCGCCTCCTATAGTTCATCGGGACATATCAAGCAAGAATATTTTGTTGGATTTTGAATATGTGGCTCACATCTCTGACTTTGGCAGTGCTAGGCTTCTCAATCCTAACTCTTCCAATTGGACACCATTCGCGGGGACCTTTGGGTATGCTGCTCCAGGTAATTTTGCTTATTACATTATTTTAAATTATTTTGGTCCAATTATTGTTCTATAAAACACCCCTTTCAATCTTAATGGAATACACTAATTGCACAATATACTAGTTGCACTTCTTCATTTAACCCATCTCCAATTTCTTGTTCATAAAAGATAATTAAGCCTAAATAGCGAAAATATCTAATTTTTTGCACCTCTTGATCCTCACCTTTTTGTGTTCTATAGTTATGTCGAACAATGATTGTTAGAAAAAAAAAATTATATTGTCAGATTTCTCTTTACTTTTCTTGTCCTTTATTCATTGCTTTGCAGAACTTGCTTATACAATGGAAGTGAACGAGAAATGTGATGTTTTTAGCTTTGGAGTGTTGGTAGTAGAAGTGATCATGGGAAAGCATCCAGGCGAGCTCATCTCCTCTCTATCATCATCATCATCATTATCGCCACCGACTTTGGTTGTCCGAGACATACTCTTGAAGGATGTGTTGGATCAACGTCTTTCACCTCCAACGGCACAAATGTCAGAGGAATTAGTCTTTATCACCAACCTAGCTTTTGCATGCTTGCATGCAAGTCCCCAATCTCGGCCAACAATGAGAGAAGTCTCCACAATGCTATCGAAACGAAGGCCAATTCTGCAAAATCCATTCCACATGATTACACTAGGACAACTGCTTGATATTGGATCTTCAGCCTCCTGAGCATTTTTGCATCTTTTTATTTTTTATGCTCGTGTTATTTTTCCCACTTTGAGTTTTCAATTTTATCGTTTATGTGTTGTATTCCTTTGTCCTGTTTATCTTATGTGGTGAGGATGATGCCAAGATTGTTGTAAGATACATTGCATTTTATTGTACATTGTAAGACCAATCTAAGTGTCTCTTATTCAATAACATACATAGCTCCTATCGTAACCTGCTGAAGAACACAATATAGGGCAATTCAGTGTTGTTGAGATTTAAATGTGTTTGTTGTCATTCTTCAAGTTATAGACTTCTAGAGTGTTATGTAGTGTAAAATATTGGGCAGAGAGAGTTTCAGTGGTCTGTTTAGTCTATCATTGTAGCAGCAGTGAGTGAAAGAGCAAAACCCCTAGTGTTTGTCACTTATCGACAAGGCCGGATTCGCCACACTTGCCTTTGCTCGATTTGCTTTCTTCCTTGAAAGGTTAATTTATGGTTTCCTACCTCTCTGTGTTTCTGATGGTGATTTTTCTTCCAAATTTACACACAGAATTTTGCTCCCCTGTCATGCTACTTACTCGTAATGGTGGGTGTGTACTAAATTTACTTGGGTTTAAAATTTGAAGCCTTGAAATTTTAAGATCCAAACTTGAACTAAAAAATTCCTCAACCTCAGTTATGCTGCAAAATAATAAAATATGATAAAGATTGCATGGTTATATAGTTGCTAACAAGTAAATGGTAAACAATTTGTAATTACCTGATTCGTATTCTTCAATTAATTTCTTGTATAGTTTCTCCAACTTTAATTGCAAATTCAGTTTATCAATAATAGATGGTTTCTTGAATTCAATTTATGTCAAACGCATCTTATTGTTTTATGTGACTAAGAGATGATGTTATTGTGATACATTCACGTAAATTTAGTTGAATGTGTCCGACTGTTGAACTCTGTAACCCATCCCTTCTAGACAAGGTTAGTTGTGTTATGCTCTGTTACTAATAGAACGATTTTTACTGTATTCTAATTTTTTTAGCCCAGCCAAAACACTACTCTTGTAACTATTTTGTATATTTCAAAATAGTTGTCTCAATTCAAAACACAATGTACTATTTTTTTAATATTCCTAATATCCCTTCCTTGTCTTGAAGTTAGAAAAGCAATTAAAGTCTGAAATAAAGCTTTATGTGGATCCACCATAAAAGGGTATATTTAAAATTTCTTTTCATACCACTATAATATACTTGCCAAAGTAGAGAATGAAAGAGACACAAATGATTAGTATCTTCACTACTACCGAATGCTATAAGTCAGCTTGTGGTACTAATACATATATTCTACAAGTGATATAGAACACGTTAATTAATGTGGAGATTCTGGAGAAGACTCTTATGATTTTAAAGCATATATAGCTCGTGTAGTCATATACATGCTCGCCCAAACGTGCCTGTGAATTTTCATTGGTTTTCGAGGAAAGAGAAGTAGAGAAATTATAGAGAAATTATTACAAGGTCCCATGATCATTCGTCCCGATTAATCATTAACTGACATATAAATAAAAAATAAAAATAAAAAAGTGAAATAAAACTTACATACTTATTTAGTGTCATTTAGTGATTAACTCAAAATCATGTACTTTGTAATAATTTCTCGGAGAAGTAGGGGTGCAAGTCTTGGAATAGGCTTGGACAGCTCATTTTGTTACTCATGTTCGGTTTGAGTAAAAAAATTCAAATTCTCTCTCTCTCTCTCTCTCTCTCTCTATATATATATATATATATATATATATATATATTACATTCAAATTCTATATTAATTTGGGTTGTGTGAGAGTAAAATTGGACTCATTTTGTTAGAGATTGGGTTGAACTCGAATTTAGAATCAAGCATTTCATAAACTCAAGTTGGCCGGACTCAAAGAGATTGTGCAATAGATGTATTTGTTACGTAATGGTACGGGATCACCCAGGAGGTAATCCGGATTCTTGAATAGGAACATTTGCGGGGACCTTTGGGTATGCTGCTCCAGGTATTTTTTATTGTTTGATCTTCTGTTAAAACAATTCATTTTAAATAGTTGATTGAATGAACTAAGGTTATACATTAGATGTTTATAATCTTAATATTTTTAAACTTGAAATTTTGTTTTGGCTTAAACATTTACTATATAGTTTCTTGATGTGCTATTTCTGTATACTTTTATCACTTGTTGGATGTACAGTAATGAATAATTGAGTTCTAAAGTCACTATATCTGATTGTAGGCCATATTTTGTTTTGCCTTCCCTCCTTTTTTGTAATTTGAGGTAATACCCTCATTTGTATTTCTATACTCCGTTCTTCTATTAATACAAAAACCATTTAGGAAAAATAAATCTCTCTTATACTCAAATGAACAAAAACGTAATGGTAGAAGATGGACCAATGCCCAATGACTTAAAAATTTGTTGACCAAAACTTGGAAAATATCACAAAATACCTAATCATCTATATATGCAGATTGTTTCATCAACACGTCGAGAAACTACGATACTTAAGGTTTCACAAGTCTGTGTCATTTCTAGGCAATCTAAATTAACTAATTAAACCAAATAGTTATCGTGCATTTGAACCGCGTAATTACAAATTAGCTATTTGGTTTGTCATAAGTCACATACAAGAGGAAATGAAAAGGAAATCTAAGACAATTTTAAAGCTCCAACAGCAAAATCACTCTTAACTCCACAACCAAACAGAGCCTTAAGGGAATAAAAGTTTGCCTCCTATATATTCTGCTGAACAGAAGTCATGATACTGTGGGACAAAATTAACAGTGGACAATGATTTGTCCATGGGACTAATTTTGAATACCCCAGAAGGTGACCCATGCGCGCAAGACACGAGTCAAGAATTGAGGCACACCCAGAATGGGTTCTGATCTGTAATGATAAACATAAAATCATCTCAACTACATTTTGGGAGATGCTGATGCTTTCCAGTACTCTCTCTCCAGAATACCAATATAAAGCCATTCATCAATTTCAAAGCACAACTATGAGATAATAGAAAGTATATATGAACTGAGCATCTACAGTAGCTTAAATATAATATCAGTAATTAACATGGACTGAACATATGCTAAATTTACTTACTTTTAAATATTGAAGCCTTGACATTTTAAGATCCAAACTTGAACTCAAAAATTCCTCGAGCCTCAGTAATGACTGCAAAAGAATAAATATGGTCAAGATTGCATAGTTATAGAGTTGTTAACAAGTAAATAGCTAAAAATTTGTAATTACCTGATTCATATTCTTCAATATCTTGCATAGTTTCTTCAACTTCAATTGGGAGTGGTGAAGCCCGTAACCAATCTTGTGCACATATCAAGCCCTCCACAGACTTGGGTGTTAGAGAACTATGGAATTGATCAAGAACACGACCTCCAGTGCAAAATGTGGATTCAGAGGCAACAGTGGACACAGGGATAGCCAAAACATCTTTAGCAACTTGAGCTAACACTCTATACCTTGAACAATTCAATTTCCGCCAACTCAATATTTCAAAATTAGGGCCACACTCCTCACAAGATTCCTCCAAATACCTATCCACCTCAGATTTGCAACTCACAACCTTTTTTGCTTTCAAGTACTTTCGGTATCTAGATCGAAGAGACTCTTCTTGCTCACATGCTTCTCTAAGTGGTCCATCAACTGCCAATCCATTTGATTTTTGAGTCGAGCTAGCCGAAGCTGAATTAAGTGAGTCATACAATTGGTACTCGGCAAAAATACGACGCATAGCCTCTTTTACCCTATGCATTAGCTCATTCACCTTGTGTAGAGGATACAGTTTAGTACAGCAAAACTTCACATACTCCATTTTGAAACAAGTATCCAACACAAGAGCAACCAATAACATTGAGTCCATTTTTTCAATGTTCCAACAATACATGTCAAATTTTTTCAATACATTTGAAGTGTCATATAAACATCAGGACAAGCTTAAAGCCATATCATAAAAATGTTGCAAGAATTTCGCCAAAACTCGAGCATCATCCCAATCACTCTTCGATGGAGGTTCATTACTAAGTTCCAAATTATAATGTGGATCTTCCTCCTCTAACCTCTCAAATGCCTTTTGAAGTTTTAATGCTGCTTCTAACATTAAAAACGTGGAGCTCCACCTAGTTTGAACATCAAGGCATAAAACACTCTTACTTGCTATTCTCTCTTTCTCTATACATGCCTTAAAATATTGTCCTCTTTGTGGAGAACTCTTAATATACCTCACAGCCCCACGAATACGAGTTATTGAATCCTTAACATCATTTAGCTCATCATTCACAATAAGATTTAATGTGTGCACAACACCTCATGTGAAAGATTCACCCCCTAGAATCAAAGTGTCTTTCTTTTCACAAAATTTTCTTTTCAAGTAAGCAATAGCATCATCATTGGAACTCACATTATCAACTGTGAGAGTGCATAATTTATCAAGACCCCATTCCATTAAACATGCCTCGACTGCCTGACCAATTGCATCACCTTTGTCACTTGAAAGCACACAAAAGTTTAGAATCCTTTTATGCAATTTCCAGTTCTTTGCCTTGTTTCTTCCAATATGTTCTTCAACTTGTTCTTCTCACTAAAATACATTGCCAAACAATCCCTTGCCAAAGTAGTCCGTGACACGAGCTTAAATTTAGGTTGCAACACACCACAAAAAATTACGGAATCCTTCATGCTCCAGAAACTTAAAAGGCAATTTGTCTATTATGATCATCTTAGCAAGTGCATACCTACACAACTCTTGGTCAAATTTACAAAGATGGTTACTATTGGAGCTTTCTTCTTCTCCCGCCATTTGAAACAATTGGAGGCTTTTTTTTTTTTTGTCTTGATGGTACGGATACTTGGGACACCTACTAACATGTGTTTTTTAACATACTAGTCCCGTTTAAACTCTCCCGAGCATAAATTGCATTACAGTAATTGCATTTGGCACCCTCAGGCTTCCCTTCCTCCTTGAATTTAGTAAAGTGATCCCAAACATGAGATTGAAAACCATTTTCCTTAGAAGTGCATACTTTGTTTGAGATGGAGAGGCATTGCAACCATCACTGCTTTGATTTAAAGTATCTCCAGTAATTGACATCTGAAATTAAAGAAAATTAAGGATTGTCGCTACGTGATTTTACTAGAAAATCAGTTCTTATTTATTAATAAAAATAAATTAGGCATTGTTTCTAGGTGATGATTTACTAGAAAATCATATCTCATTTAGTAACAGAAATAAAAAGTTAAAGCAAACATAAAGTATAATCTTTAGAGAGTATCAAATTATAAAATTAGTAATAAAAAATGAAACTCTTGCCAACTGAAAAAACTACAAATTCAGACTATTA